CCCTGATTTCGTCTCTATTTCTGGTTATATACCTCAATGGTAATCATTAACAGTATTACATATATAACTGTTGATGACACAATTAATCGGAATATTTTCTCATTTCAGAACTACTAATGTCACAAAAGCAGCAAATGATCCGAGAACGAGATCCGACTTATATGACCGAAACCAACATTTTGACCATCATCGAGTTCTCCTACGTGTGCCCTTTTAAATGCCGACACAACAACCTCATCTGCTACTATTGCGGGCAAATATTCTCCGACCCGCATTCGTTACGAGAACATACAGAAGTGAACCACACTCCAAAATACTTCAAAGTGACGGAGCATAAAAATATGGTGAAGCTAGACTTGACACGTATAGACTGTCGTCTATGCGAAGTGAATATAAATAATTTGGAAGATTTCAAAAGACATATAAGTGAAGTGCATAAAAAGAAATATTATTTCGATTATAAAGACACAGTGTTGCCGTTTAAACTGACTAAATTTAACCTCAAGTGTGTGTTATGTGAAATGGTGTTTCCGTACTTCCATGCGTTGAATCGTCATATGAACGAGCATTATAGTAACTATGTGTGTGAGACGTGTGGGTTGGGGTTTGTGGATAAAGGAAGATTCGTGATGCATCAGCAGAGGCACGAGGAGGGTGACTTCCCATGCCCTACTTGTGAGAAAAGATTTAAGGCGCAGTATAATAGGTAAGCCACATAGATATAGTTATTGTTGATGTTCAGGTTCAAATGGATCCAAGATGTTGGTGGTCAGGATCTTGCTCTTCACAGGTTCAGTGGACTGTATTGGATCGGAATAAAACACTTGTTCAAAGCTCAAAGCTCAACTGAAAATTAAACTGCCTCTATTGCTCAAAGTGGTCCTACTTACATACGGTCAGTCAGTCTCTCAACTAGTAGGGGTAGTAATAAGACTGATTGGTACAAAATATCGCCCGTAGCTTGCCTGCTTATTGGTATTCTACAGAATATATCACAGAGTGAGCGATGGAATTGCATAGTTTGATTCCGCCTTTCCATAATCGGGGGATGAAACGTGGACTGGGGTTCCCTATGTTGTGGATATTCCCAGGATTCTCACGAAGCGTTTCGCTTCCACATATGGCGAGCAACTAGGGAGTGGAATTCCCTTTTCAAGGCGAGTGTGAGTAGGCATTATTTAGGCGTTCGTGCTACATCCTCGACTCATCGTCACTTTCCATCAGGTGAGATGGAGGTCAAATGCGCACTTACTTTTATAAAAAAATAAGTAATAGGATCGATTTTTTATTTTTTACTTTCCATAGTATAAAGAACCTCTTTTTAGACACCGAAAATTTAATTGCTAAAGTAGTTACTACTTTATATATTCGATTATTATTTCGGTAAAGACTGCTAAATCGAAAATCGAATATAGGATAGGATAGTGCAACCATCGATTTATTCTATATTATTTTTAGTAACAATCGCCCATCTCTAGTTGAGATTCAAAATCTTACTTTATGTATGTATCTAGTAAACAAGATTACTGTCTCTTTTCGTGTGGTTTTCAAAATCCTTTCCACGGCCCTTCCAGGGGACTTGGTGAAGTCCATTTTGTAAGCGGTAACAACAAAGCAACAAATATTTATATAGAACATAATTTTCACAGGGACCTACATATAGACCGCGTTCATAAGAAACGCGGCCGCGTCTACTGTCCCAAGTGTGACGTGACACTTATGTCACATCCTCAGAAGCTAAAGCATTTAGTTGAAGTGCATGGAGAGGTGAGTGTTTGGAAATTATGATTAATTGTAAGACGTCACAATGAATTTATTACATCACAATATCAGAGTTGTCAGTTGTGGCGTATTAAAACTCCAGACAACACTCAGAGCGCTATAAAATTAGAGGATACGATATATAAGAGGAATCGAACCCGGGACCTCTACGTGGCAGACCAGGGAGTCGATTTAGCACCTTACGATAATTCAGTAGTCGATCGATTCGATTTGATATCATACGATTTCTTTTCATTTTTATTCACAACACCCGAATCAAACGTCCATCTGTCGTATTGGAAACCGAACCGAAATGACGTCACACCCGTACGATTACTCGAACTTCTCGACCGGCAAAGGCTATAAACGTTATTCAGAACAGTTATCAAATGAAAGTTACCGAACGTCCTATTGTTTACAAAACAAGAATGTAATATGGAAATCTATTATTGTTTTAAATAAAGTGTCGAATTTATTCAATTTTATTAATTTATTTTAATGCATTCTTATAGTTAAGGCCTTTAAACTCTAAAAATGTATATAAAAGGATTTTAATTTTTCTTACAATTAATTTCACCGACTAATTCCGTAAACGCTGTTAGATAACGATATCGTATCCGAATCCGAATCGAACGTTTAACTAAAAAAAAGTTTTTAATAAATATAAAAATGCAAATATTTATTTACTCATTTGGAACAGTCTATTCTGACCACTGTTTATAATCGGGGATCGGAATAGGTAGAGTTTTTTTACATAAACTTCGAGGAATAGACAGAATATGGAGACTGCCTTACGACAATATTTTTTAGGCCCTGGACCTGTTCGGGATTCGGGAAATCACTTAAGTACATTAAAAATTGACGTAATTGGGGACAGGCAGGTACACTGTATTTATCTTAACTTTGCGACACAGTGGGTCGGATCAGCGATATTGCGGACATTGGATATTTTCACGATACCTCTCTAAAAAAATGCCAATCGAGAGATCCTATTGTCGTAATTAAATATTGTCATATCACATTTTGCCATAAATATAATAATTTAGTAGGAAAAAAATAAAATGTGTATTTTTTGTATGGGACCATACCTTTAGTGCCCCATCGTTACAAAGTCTTAGTCGATCCAGTCTTGGAATCACTACAAACGTATTATTAGACCTATCTTCTATGGATTTGCATACTAAAAGCGCGCCCAAATCAGCCTATTCACTACTTATACGTGTCAGAAAATGTACAATATAAGACCCAAAAAATATTGTCGTAAGGCAGTCTCCATTTTCTGTCTATGTTCTTCGAAGTTAAGGTAAAAAAACTCTACCTATTCCGATCCCTGGTTATAATACATAAAAATATATTGTAATATAATTTGTCACTCAGGAGCCGCTTACGTTTCCATGCAACATGTGCGAACGAGTATTTGAAACTCGACGTAATCTCACCATTCATCGACGTAAAGACCATCTTAAAGATTACCGGTGAGTATGGTTGTAGGGATTGTGCTGAACCTTGTTGGGTGGATATTTTAAGGTTAAAATACAATGATCTTATATACAAGGTATGTTACATTTATAATCAAACGTCCGAAACCCAAGTGCATCGCCGGGGCATAGATTATGATTTTGTGAAACAGAAAGAACATTTCGAAAAATAGGTAAGAAGTAAACAAAAATCGAAAAGGAAAACAAATTTATTTTTAACAGACTTCACAAAAGGAGAGGGTTGCCAATTCGACTGTTTTTTTTTTGTATGTATATTATGCAATTACTCCGACATTTATGTATCATCCAAATATGATACTTTTTTGTTAGAAAGGGGGTGCCTCAGTAGCAGTCCCATTTAAATTTGAAGAAAGTGTTCCACATTCTTAGGGGATGAATCAGGTTTATTTGATTTCATCCACTTTCCGTTAACCGATTTCAATAAAACAAAACTTCAATAAAACTTTGTAAATAAAGTAATAATTATAGCAAACTAGTGGAGTAATTTCACAAAAATAATTGAATATCATGGTGGTCAAACATCGTGACAAAAAAAAAAAATACAGTTATTAAAGCGACATCTCTGGCTGAGTGAAGAAACATATTTCTCACCGATGATGCTAATAATTTAAGTTTAATCTAATCTAAAAACCTAATCTTACAATAAATAATACGTATAGAATGTATATGTCATAATAAAGTGACAAAATATTTGGAAATAAACTACATTTACGGTGACAAATAAAAAAAAAAATAAAAAGAATAATTATATAAACTGGGTGACGAAATACTTTCATACATTTCTCATAGAAGAAAGTCTTTAAAAACCGAAAACAAACATCTGCAACAAGCAGGTACGATCCGCTGGTTTGTTCCGTGGCTTACTTGGCATAGCGTCTGGCACGATTTGCTAGAAAACTTTTTTTAATCCAGCCGGATCGAAGGATTTTTTTCTAATTGTTCAATCTTTGTATTAATAATTGTAATATTATTAAATAAACCAACGAAAAATATTTATACTGCCTTTTGGAAGGTCTGCTCTAATCCACTTTTTTGTGTACGCACAATTACGATCCACTCTTGGAGTTGGATCTCATTAGTTGGAAACCGAATTTAAATAAGTTTTAACCCTAAATGCATTAGAACAATGATTTTAAAGGTTTCAATTAACATTCATTCATATAAACCAAATGATATAAATAGAAAAAAAGTAAAACATAGTTAATTGATGACTTTACTGCCTACAATGTTCGTATTTGCACTTATAATCTATGACCTAATTGCGATGCGTCCTCATCGCACTAGCTACAGAAATAATTTCCTGTTTCCGTCTACAATTAGCAACTGTTATTTATTCAAATAAACAGAAAAATTTAACTAAATATAGCAACAATTTAATATTTTTACTAACTTACGCGTGGAATGTAATTCCTTATGTTTTATTAGTGCATTTACTAAATAAACACATCGACATTTTTCTTCAAATTTAAAGGAAATGACGCCATTTTACAAATGTCAGGTTAGTTCTTTTGCTCGATGCAAACTGACTGAGCCTTAATCAATTGCAATAAATATAAGTTTTTTTTTTTTAAATTTCAGCTATGAATGCCACTGTTGCGGGCAAAAGTTCTTTACCCGCTTCGCGCTCAACAACCACATGCCTACGCACACGGGTGAACGAAACTTCAAGTGCAAAGTATGTAAACTTAGAAAAAAATATTTTATTTCCCTTGCGATTGTACCATTATTAGTATAAGGTGTATACTTTCAAAATAGAACGATAGTTTGATTTAAACTTTCACGATTTTTACACATTATTTGATTTTTAATTTGGTACTTAATCACATATAAAACATATTTTATTTACCTCGACGTTTCGAACACATTTAACACACACTCTCATTGACTTACAATTATATGGACGTCGGGTCCGCGCTAAAAAGTGTCCGCACTTGTAAGGCGCTAAAGTCGTATACAGAGCGCGACAGTCTTCATTTGTTCTACTGACAGCGCGATACTGCGATGACATTACAATTTAAATTTCGAATAGGTTGACTTGGGACATTTTTTTCGTGGTTTTTGTATTAGACCCGTCGTCCATTTATTTGTAAGTCAATGCACACTCTCCACTTTTACATACACACCGCCAACTACACAGCATAGATTAATCTATAAACTTAATTAACCGCACTCTTTAAATGTTGTTTCTTTGTTAAATTTCATTTTATTTTCTTCTTAGTCCCAAAAGAACAGTCTTATTGTACTAGTTTTGGGACTACAGAGTTTTATTTAGTTTACTTTTAAGCCATTTGTTTGTTACAACTAAGATTGATGCTTTCCCGCCGTGGTGGCAGCAGTACTATCCGCTAACACAGGTTGAATCCTTTTGTGGGGTCTGGATGTTGCCTGACTGGTTAGCAACCAATCAATTACTTAAAACATATTACTGTAATTATTTTTATAGTATTTGTAATGGCTATAAATAAAGTTATTATTATTATTATTATTATATTGCAACGTCCATGGTCTTGAAGGGACTGAAGAGGCGTGTGTCAGCATCTTCTATCTATACAAGTTTTAGTAACTACACTTGATCTTCATTATTTATTTGTGCACTAGGGTTCTCACTAGACCGACACACAACACTCACGACATCCCACGACTTGTCGGGTGATACTTGTCCCTTCATACATACAGTCCCTTCGAGACCATGGACGTTGCAATATGTCCGGAACGTCGAGGTAAATAAAATATGTTTTATACGTGATTAAGTCTCGAATTAAAAATCAAATAATAGAACGATAGGTTTATAGACACGCTAACTGTAATGGAATATACATGTATATATATTTCCTTAAAAAAATTTCATCAATTATAAGTATATTTCTGAAAACCCTTTCCCCCGGTCTCTCCCGCGCTAATCTGTTAGTGTTGGGTCATGGAAAAATTTTCCATTTTCAGTAAATCAAATTTTTCCTTTAATTTTCCCACATTTGACGTTGACACCTGACAAAAAGTTCAAGTTACTGAACGAAGACGATGGAGTCAATAAAAATGGGTTTTCTTTCCACTTTTAATTATATTCTAAAATCTCCTTTTTTTCTATGTGGCTTTTAGTATATGACTTTATTTTATAATTCACGCCAAATACAGCTTGAAAAGATATATTCTAAACGTAGAACATAATATGAGCCTTTGAAATTATATTTTTCCAATTTATCGCGAATTTTTCCAGAAAATTTTTCACTATTTGACATTTTTCTGAAAATTACCCAACTGTATAATCTGTCCTCCTGTCTTTTTTTATATCACACAATTTGTTTTTTTTTTAATTTATTAAGGCTTTGGCAAAGCCATTAGCCTACACATGAAGTTTAATTATGTTTCTGTAAATATGGCCGCCACAAAGAGCTTTGATTGACTCGGGATTCCTTAAAACGGGCCGATACGGGTATTTTAGTTCGAGATTCGTATAATCTCGCGTTTTAATCTTCGATTAAGGCACAATAGCACTATCCTATTCCACTTTAAACTAGATTTCACAAAATAATTGAAAGTCAAAATAAAAACGACACTTTTCCCTCCAAAAGGTCCAGAGCGAATCTTATATCCCATCAGTATTATTTAGTGTTGCCATTTTGTTCTATAGTTGAATATACCCAAGTCAAATCGACGATTTGTATGTTTAAATCTGATAATTATTGCTGGTAATAAGCATTTTAAACTGAATATTGATTAACATAGCTTTCGTTAATACCATTTTATTTTTCAGGTATGTGAAAAATCCTACCCACGGCTTAAAACTCTTAAAGAGCACACGCGGATACATACAAACGACAGAAGATATAGATGCCACATATGCGGACAGGCATTCATACAGAACTGCAGCCTTAAAGGTCATATGAAGAGCCAACACCCTGAGTATGGATAATAACAACATCACCAATCCCCATTGGGTCAGAGTCACCAATCTGCATCCATACCAACTGGCCAGAAGAGGACCAGAAGATCCCTAAGCAATAATGGGACTCTGACATTATACTTTATACACTGAATGTGAATGTTTTTTTATACATATAAATAATTATATAAATAAATTAGTATGAATTTAATTTATTTATCAAATAAGGTATTTGCACATTTTAATCAATATAATTAAAAGTTTTATTAATATCTCCTCTAGTTATTATTTACCTGTTGATGATGAAAGAGACAGGATTTGAGCAGACTTGAGTATGGTTTCAATCACTGGAAATACGACCCCAATGGCAAGGACTTGAGTATGATTTCTAGTGCTTTAAATCATACTCAAGTCCTGACTTGAGCATTGAGTAGAGTTCTGGAATACGACCCTTAAACCGTTAGGCCATCGACGGCCATCGAGATCGTCAATGGTGCATAATAAGCGGGATACAGAAACAGTGGATGAAGGTTAATCTCCTTAAGGGCAGCTTTATTTGCCAATAGTTGTAATTTGTTTATGGTAACACGTTTGTAATAAATTTGTTTTAAGAATGATGGACGATGATGTTTGAAAAAATGATGGACGGCTTATTTTCTGTAATTTCCTTTTATAACAATACTAATACTCGAAGGGTCAAAGGGAATCTTTTCATTTATTTAAAACTATTCCCATTTTATTTGTAAGTCAATGACTATTCCAATAAGAAAAGCCCAACAAATCTAATACACTGCTCACTGTAGTAAAATAGTACCGATTATAGTAGATGATAAGTACAATTTAAAATAACAATTACCTATCCAGATTACAAAACATATGCAGATGGAGGTGCTTAGTACTGACGCGAGTTTGTATTCGCTTTTGAATTTGTATTTGCTTTGGTGGCTTCACTTTCGTGTTCGGTGCGCTCCATCTGCCTATGTTTTGTAATCTGAGGTTTTGTTTCTCCTATTTGTACTACGTTTAATAAAACAGCTATGAAGTACTGCGGCCAAAATAAGAATGGAATCAAAGTGTTAATTAATAAATTAACAGTGTAGTAAATAGTTATGATTTATCATCACAAATAAAGAAGTAGATATTGTAAATGGCGCGTCGAGTATTTATAAATTAGCAATAAATAGTTGTTTTCTGTTGATGGTCATTTTGTGTCATTTTCAATACTGCCATGTTGTGACAACTAGGGAACAATATTGCCTCGGTATTCTCATATCAGGGAGTCTACTCTCTATCTCCGCCCGACATCCGTCCGAAACAATTATTGTCAAATAAGTAATTTTCGACAAAATTAAAAGACAAGTATCCAGTATGAAGCATCATTCGCATCATGCGTCTTTTCATTTGGTCAAGTATTGCTTATTTAGCAGTAATTATTTCGGACAGAGATTGAGAATAGATCCCCAGGTTTGAAGTGCGTTTAGAATCGATCGATTGTAGTTTAATTTAATTTAAAAGTATAAATTCATTTTTACTTTATACAAGGAAGAAATGAAATAGGGATTTACAATTTTTTTTTAATAAAAATATTGGCAAATTAGTTCGTATCATTCGAATGAGATTCAGGTTATCGATTCCTTTGGAACTGCGTATATAAAAAAAAACGGCGTTTTGTCTGTCGTGTCGTGTAGCGATGATGGGACGGGTTGTATTTTTTTCAACTCGAGTTGACGTGATTGCTGACTCGAATTAACTCGACTCGTCTGACAGAGCAATCGCGAGTCGCGAGTTGCGAATTGCGAGAGCGGCGTATATGCGATATTGTCATTGACTTACAATTATATGGACATCGGGTCCGCGCTAAAAAGTGTCCGCACTTGTAAGGCGTTAAAATCGTATACAGAGCGCCAAACTCCGTTTTAGTCTTCATTTGTTCGACTGACAGCGCGATACTGCGATGACATAACAATTTAAATTTCGAATTGGTTGACTTGGGACATTTTTTTCGTGGTTTTTGTATTAGACCCGTCGTCCATTTATTTGTAAGACAATGGATATTGTACTCGAACCGACACGGCGACGATTCACTGAGTTGGGCATGATCGGCCGACGCGGTCGCCGACCGCGACTTGAATGACCCGAAGGTATCCGAACCAACCGAGTGAGAACGAAACGAGTAGCTGATGCATTGTTTGAATGGACCGAACTAACTCGAGTTCAAAGAAAACTAGCTCAAATTGACTCGAACGAGGTAGCTGCTGCGCATTGCGGTGTATGAATGAAGTATTCGGCTCGGCGAGCGGGGCGGTTACCGAATCGAGTTCATAAAAAAGTAACTCGAGTTGACTCGTTATGGGCGTAACTCGAGTTAAATAACTCGACTCGCCCATCGCTACGCTTCGGTGCCGGTATGTGAATTTGAGCAACTGAGCGAGCACAACAGCACTACCACTGAGCATATAACCACTACGAGCACTACAGCACTATCGGCCGACGCTCACTCGCGTAATGGCGTCATTCCATTATTTAGTGATACAAAAAGTACATAATATAAGCTAAAACAAGTCTTTATACTTCTATTTGTAGTTAGTTAACCAAATAATATTATGAGATAGTATTTTCTGTGAAAATACTAGTGTATTTGTGGATATGGCGGCGAAAGCTTTGGAATGGCGGCCGGGGCCTGCCGTATGCCGTTGTTGCTTTGCCGAAGGGTGCTATAAAGATATTTCTACTGAATATTTTTGGATGGGGAAGAGAGAAGTGTATTCAGAAATGCTTTTAGACACCTTTGATGTTAGCGTAAGTATTATAAAGCCAGTTTTACAGTTTCATTATTGTCCACCATTTTTAGTTTTAACCGACCAAATAGAGAGACGTTATGTTCCTTCTGTGCCGTTGAGCGGGGTGGATATTTGTTTTGGTAGTATTACACGAATCGATAATCCAGACGCTGCTCGGGAGCTTCGCCCTCTTGAATGGATGATCGCTAGTAATATTTTATTCAAATCATGAGTTAACCGAGTTCTTCAGGATTAATAAATTTAGTAATTTTACTCCATGATCACATTAGAATTATGAAGATACAATGATTACGTTAAAAATATTTCTGCCGCCAAGCAGTAATTTGAGCATTACCGCATTCCGATTTTGAAGGGTAAGGGCGCTGGTGATATTATAGGCGCATGGGATTTGTCAACTTATGTCTCAGGGTGACGGGCGCAGTGTTAGGGTCGTATTCTAGAACTCTACTCAATGCTCAAGTCAGGACTTGAGTATGATTTAAAGCACTAGAAATCATACTCAAGTCCTTGCCATTAGGGTCGTATTTCCAGTGCTTGAAATCATACTCAAGTCTGCTCAAATCCTGACTTGAGCATTGAGTAGAGTCCTGGAATACGACTCTTAGTGTCTTCCCTCGGATCTTTGCAATTTAGAGACCTGAGTGGCACTGTACATGCTGTGGCGGGCGTGTCGCTTACCACCAGGCTCACGGATTGTTCATCCCGTAACTTGGTATAAAAAGAAACTAGACTAAAGAAAATGTCGCCAGATGAAGGTGTAAAAATTGCTACAATAGTTGTGTATTTTCACTCCTTAGGAAAAAATGAACCCATATCTTATCTTATAACTTAACTTATGGTCATAGGACAGACAAAAGACCAATACACCAAGAAACGTAACATTAAGTAGTGTATTCAAAAGTGTAGTTAGGTAAGGTAAATTATATTAAAAGTTAAAACATGAAACCTAAATAACAGGGCACCTAAAAAGGAAAAGTTTTTCCTCACTAAATAGAAATTAAATGTGTGTCTGTACAATAGCATCAGGTGTGCTGACAATAGTCCATACCTAATACTGGTGTTGGGTAGGACATGAAATTAAAATGAGTGAGGGAGTATCTCATTTGAAAAAATGAGGCAGTACAGTGTCCTACTTCAACTGAGGTGAGATAGTGGTAAGAATTTTTGCAACTACAACAGCCAATGACTAAACAGACAGGGAATATTAAGCACATTTTCATAACTTGCTGGTACCTATCAATCAATTGGATAACCTAAGTGTTTATGATATAGTATAAATAAATGCTAATTTTATTTAGTACTATGGTAGTATGATCATATGATGTAAATTCAGCTAAAAAGCGGGCAGTGCAGGACCAATTGTTGCATTTGTTGAATTCAAACCGCTACACATGTCTTTCAACCCTGACATTGGCAAAATCGTCGCGCAAAACGACGGAGCCATAGACACAAAAGTTGAAGTTGAAGTTGAAAGCAGTGTGACATGAGTGAAGCTGAGACATGAGGCTATGATATGACGTAAGGTGTGAGGTGGGGCATTTTTATGACATGAAGTATTGTGACAAACTAACCAAGTGAATGGTATCAATTAGTTGCCTTGTATATGAGTAGGTTAACACTACCAAACACGCATTTAGTATGGACACAGAGCCCATGAAACAGAATCATGACCAATGAGATTTAACCCCTAGTTGCATATTCTCTAAAATTATACTAATGTTCAGCAAGGCTGACAATCATTTTAGAATTTAATAAAACACACTGTCCCCCAGTTTGAATTGTTTTTGTGATAAAAGTATTTTTGACATATAATCTTTGGGGGAGGCCTATGTTCAGCAGTGGACGTCTTCCGGCTGATATGATGATGATGAATCACATGTGACTTAATTATACCAAGTGTACAATTGTGTGTTACATTGCGATCTTCAAACTTAGTTTCAAGGTGTTCTGGTAGACTGCGGATAAGAATACCCCTAATACTTTATTTCCTTCTAACAGATCTCCTATGCGCTCTCTGGGCCAAACAGCAATAGTCGTCTCATCTGCGAGCCATGCATCTCTCGACTTCGTGACGCCACTGACTTTAAGCGACAAGTCCTTGAGTGTGAACGTACCTTCATGCAGCACTTAACACAGCCTGGGCAAAGTGATAGTACTGCTCCTGAAGGTATCATTATCTTTCTAAAATTACAAATATAACAGTCATGAATTGTGGTCACAGTAATGGAAGTAGAAGTGTTTAGTGCGCACGCAACAGTATGCGGAGTTCTACATACTTGAGCTAAGTTTATCAGTTTTGCTTTATATATTATTGTCGTGTCAATTATCTCGCTCAAAACTGCGAAAATCATAGAAAAAATATTTTGTTACTTAGGAGTGCAAAAATTATAGTCGAACTTGTATTATTTATCCATGGTGGTGTTTCATGTCATTGTTAAGTCTTATATCTTTTTTGTTTATAGTAATATTTTTTTTGCCACAAGAAACGAAAGTACCGCTGTAATATGGTATCCCTTCTTTTTTGGAGAACTAAGTAAACATCTCGAATTTTCCGTCGTTCAGCTATTGACCGCTAGATGTCAGCTCATTGGTTGATATTTCAATATAAAACTTGCAATAATAGGTGTTGAACTTTCAAGAATGTACCAACAGGGTAAAGTTTAAATTATAATAACAGTCCAGAATTTGTTACTTCTTTTTTAAAATTAGAAATTAGGACAGTATTGTCAAGATTTCATTGTGTTTCACACTATGAATGCGTGAATTTTGGCCACACCGTTTCTGGTAGTAATCGAGCCTTAATGCACATTGCATTGGTTTTTTCGTCTCGTGGTGCTCGGAAAAACTTACTCAGATGTTTAAACTAATTTTAATAAGTATTCTTTTTTTTATAAAACTTTTATATAAAGAAATGCCCCCAGCTAGAGATGACTTTTTACCTGATAAATATCCGTCTAAGGTTAAATATCCAATAAGTATCCGTTTTTACTGAGTGTTTGTCCTAAAACATGGATGGTGTTTTTTATAATAAAATTCATTAGAATTCATTCAAAAATGTTCTTTTCCTATGCCATCATTGGTTGCCTTGCAAAGCAACGTTTTAATATTAAACATTCTACATCGAATTTGGCTATAGATATAACTCTATAATATAATTATTTTGTCAAAACAGCCTCTCTGGACAATGAGAAGGATGAAGTCAAGCTGGAACGGATCAAGCTGGAGAGCAAGTTAGATGATGACTTTGACGATAGGACGGGCTTCCCGGATGACGACGACGATGATGACAGTATGTACCTTTTGTTCTGGAGACTACATTGAAATGATTATACACTCCCAGACACATAATTCAAGCCACCTCGCATCTTTATCCATAAAGGACTAGAATTTAAAAATATAGTTAGCTTGGAAGAAAGAGTTAGCTCCCGTTTTTTAAGTTAAAATTTTCAATAAGGACTTGACGGAGGAAATGATGTTTAGTATACCAGTTTCAAATTTGCATATTAGCATTTTTGAGCAATGAAGCAATGTTTAAGTGAAACATTTAATATTAAAAGTACAAGGTGGATCGAATAATGTGTCCGGGAGTATATTATTTACGGCTAGAACTTGATTATGCCTGATAAATACGTAACTGAGAGTTTCAACCCACTTGAAGCATCAAATTCACTTGATATAATAAAAATGGAAGTTATTTAATTTGCTACTCCGCGAACCTAGTGAAGGTTAAATCGTGCAAAATAGCTGCGTTTGTGTTGAACATTTCTTTATGCAGTTAATTTTCCCACCCTCCCTCCACATGAAATTAATAAAATAAATAGTAGGCCATGCATATATTTCTCCCGGCCTGGGAATCGCACCTCTGCATGGCACTCTGGCACGAATGAAGAATGGCGTAAGTGGAGTTACGTCAAAAATGTTTATTCCTCCATTATATATAGAAAAATGTAACCTACATCCTCTCTAATTCTTGTAATTCTATCTACAATATTAGTCGAAAGAGTTACAAGAATTCGAGAGGATGTAGGTTGTATTTTTCTGTATCTAATGCAGCAATAAACATGTTTGACGTTACTCCACTTCAATCTTGTTGCAATGAGTTTCAATGCGGGTGTAAGTGGAATGACGGTGAAGGCATACATTCATTCAATCACTAATATCGAAATGTCTGCCATGGAAATTTCTATGCATCTCTTAATTTTCATCTCGTTTAATCAGCAAACGTATTTTTATGTAAAGTAATTAGTAGACTATGCCATTAACATGCCATTGTCTCGCAGTTGAAGAGCAGAATACCAAAAAATTGCAATGGCAGTTGAATAGTACACAACTTGTTTGTCCCGTCACTCTATCTGAGCTGAGATGATTCAAAATTAGCAGCCCAGTTCTTTAGGTAAAGTCTTTCATACCATTACATTTCATTTTCCAGTGGATGACCAACCTTTGACAACGCTAGCAACGAAAGTGCCGAAGAAAGAAACAATGGACATCTCCGATCTACTAGATAACGCGAAACCTGAGAAACGCAAGTCGACAACAAAACCAAAACCAACACCGGCTAAGAAACCTAAAAAGGTGGAAGCCCCCAAACCGTCTGTTAGTAAACAGAAAGCGAAACCAGTTGAGAAGAAGAAAAAAGGTAGGCATTGAGTTTTCTTAGTTGTATCGGGATAGGAGAGGTATTGTGAATGATGAACCTTTTCTTTAAAATTCTTTAACGACGGATTTTTGGTACACAGCATTTTATCTGATTTGACCTTTATTGATTTTTTGTTCCCGCTGTGGTCAGTAGATGGCGCTAATGGTACATTTTGAGGCGCCGTCTATGACACAACATTGAACTACTTCGTTGAGGATTGTCATTAGCAAATGTAACTTAGACAGTTTCTCAAATACACCTCACTGACTTGAACCTACAACCAATTTGCATTTGGAAACGTTTGGAGTTTGACTTTACGCGAGGCTGTTTGGGCTAAATGCAGGCAACATTTTAACAAAATATACTCAAATCATTCATAATATTTCTTCTTACCGATTTATAAGGCTGACTGGTATTTTGCTGATATTTTAACTATCAATCACTTGAAACTTAGGTCTTTATTTAATCAATTCTAACAGAACTCTGATTAGATTCCTATATTCATATACAATCGGCGTTTTTGACCTCGTACCGGTCTAAGGGTCGTATTCCAGAACT